AAGTTGATATGTTACCACTCCACCTACAATAAAGGTCCAGTAAATGCCCAATTTTGCCATCCATACCATCCATTAGTTGAAAATATCCATATCCATTAAAAGTAACTCCTATAAAATATCTATTATGCAATGTAAAACTACATTTGTCGTAAAAACCTTGACTATATCTTTTACTTTTAAAAACATTACCATAACGCCATACAATTGCATTTCCATATTTATTACATCTTTCAACTTCACCTATCATTTGAGGAGCCCAATCATAATCATTAATATAATCTGTTTGATTTGTACTAATTGAGTTATTCATTTCTTTATATGTATTTAAAGAATGCTCTACAGGAAAATAGCAATTTACATGTGATAAAACTAGAAACAGAGAAATATAAAATAGTGCCATATTGAATAGCTGGATAAATATTGTTCTCTTTATATTACATTTTTATTATTGTTTAATATTAAGCTTCATTATTATTTGTTGACTATAAACATAATTTGGTAGGACAAGGAATATTTTGTTTGAATTTGATTAAATCTAGGTGTATTGGGTTTAAGGCCTTAGTTTCTTTTAAGAAAGAGAATAATGCTGCTACTTTGCTTTTTTGTCATCATATTCTGGACCTGTGTTCACAAGATGCTGGTGCACTGCTGCATAGGGATCTTGTTGAAACTGTGGATGTGATAAAACAGCTGCCAGCTGCTTCGTTTCTCTGATTCTGTATGGTAACGTATCTGATCAGATATTGAGAAAAAAAGGAAAAGTGCAGAGAAATGACTGCTTACATGAGCTGTTGTCGATGCTTTTGTCTGTTAGATTTCTTGGTGCAAACTCGCTGCTGGTTTGGAATGTCAGGTAGAAACTCTCCCAGCGAAGGTAAATCCTGCAGAGTTGTTCTTGTGTTTCTTCGTTTTGGCTTTGATTTCTTCTGGAAGTCAGGACTGTTAAAACTTCACACAAGAATATTTCAGCTCGCTACCTTTGCCTTGGCCAACGCAGTCTGTGTCTCTCGCAATTCTGAAAGAAAAGAGAAGTAAAACAAGCATTTGCAGAAAGAAGTACACTCACTTGCTAGAAACCGCTCTTGTTTCGCCAGTTTCTTCCTGACACTCGGCTTGATTTCTCTTTCAGCTTCCACATTCCTAAAACAAGAAAAGAAGTAAAGAGTTACAAGATAAACCAGATCACATCCATGCAGTGTCTACTTTGTCTCGTTCTCTTCTTGGGTTTTCTTTTCCTGGAACGAAAAATCAAAATCGAAACCGCAAACCCAAAAACACAAAGAAAAACGGACCTGGACTTTTGCGGATTTCTCACGCACTTTCTGCCGAATCGTCTTCAGCGCTTTACCAAAGCTAAAACCCCTGCCCTAGCTCCAAAATACCGGGATATTCTCCACCACTTTTTGTTCGTTTGGACGTACAAGTTGGACAGCAACAAGTAAGACATCTTCTCTCCGGGCAGCGCGAACTCTGCTGCTCGCTCCCCTCGCTCGCCATCACCCTGCTCCTTGCAGGAATTGAGGAAAATCTTCGACAACGCCAGGACTTCCATGTCCGGTGGGAGCTTTTGGATGAGCTCCTCGGCCTCCAATCGTCCCAGCAAATCGATCATGCACCCAAGATGCATAGCTGATCGCCGGAGACAGTGATCCGTGGCCATGGACACGAACAGCCCGATTGCCTCGTCCAGGAACCCTGCATGGCTTCCTGACGAGAAAGGAGATTCCATCGGGCTTGACACCCTCTTGCTGCATTCTCCAGAGAAGCTGGAGTGTTTGTTCTCCGTGTCCGTGCTGGGCAAACGAGGGGATCACCGGCAATCACCGAACTTTATGCAAACGCGGCGATCTAGACTTGTGAATGCGAGCTCCAAGTGGGTCATTTTTGGTAGTGGTCACAAAAATAACTTCAAGTAAACATAATTTGCTACACTATCTATATATTTATTATTAATAATTATGTGATATTAATTGAAAATAATAAAGTGTATTTGAATAACATTAATTATTTTATTTTGTTTCAACTTATTACCTTTGCGATGCTCTTTCTACATTTTCATATTGCCATGGCAGACTTGAGAGAGGTTCAGAGATGGCAGGCTGAGCTACGATGCTATGCCGCATGGCGCCCATCTTGGGGTTCCACCGCAGCTGGACGCCATCGCAGTTCTTTGCTAGCCAACAAAGGATAGAGTATGTCATTTTTTTCGAGACTGTTAAGTTTTTTCAAACTCGAAGTTGGAAATTTAAGGGAGACTCAACAACAACTCGGCAGTTGGCAGGAGTTGTTCCATCATCGATGCAGTGACAATTTTAAAAGTGCTGCTAAAAGAGACCATCATGGCCATGTTTGCATTGAGGAGAAACCACTAGCTTCGGAGGAAACTATCACAGTTAGAGCACTAACTTTGATTCTAGAGTTTCACAGGGAAACACTTCTACGGGGATAACCACCAGGATTTTTACAGCGATTTTGAAGAGTTACAGCAATACTTATAGAGAAGAGACTTCATAGCTTGATTCTCCAAAATCGGATGAAGTGGACCAAGACAAGGCTTGTGTGCCGCATAGCCCCCGTCTTTTGACAGCATAAGTGCTCAATCCGGCTCAATCAAAGTTCCACATGTTCTTCCCTCATGCAATGTAGAACATAAAAAAAAAAAAAAACAGTCTTCCAGGAAGAAAAAAATGAAAGTACCATTTCCACGTGCATAGCTCCAAAGAGGTGGCAGAGAATATAAGCTTCGATAACCTTGGTGCATAAGCTGGCTGGTGCTCTTCTCGCCATGGCTCACGTCCATGCTCGGCCCTGAAAGAAGAAAATGCTTACGAATCAAAGAAAAGCAGTAGAGAATAAGCTTCGACCTTGGCTATAAGCTGGCTGAGTGCTCCGCCCTGAAAGAATAAAAGCTTAGCAATCTTAAAAATGCAGCAAAGAATAGCTTCGACCTGGGCTCTTTGGTGCTGGTGTGGCCTAGTTCGCCATTGGTCATGTGCATACTCCGCCCTGAAAAGCAATAGCTTATACCTTGAACCTGCAACCAGACAAATTACAGAGTTCGAAAGCCATCGAAAACAAGTTTACCTCATGTCATTTTCTTGCTTTGTGCCAAAGACGGCTCTTTCGTGTTCTTCTCGTTTATAAACTTCATTCCACAATGAAACGTAGTATGGATATCTTTCCCAGTCACCACCCACCACGGTCCGGTTCCGATCTGCAAATCCCTCGCTCTGTGCCCGTACCTACGTGCATCGCGATCAGAAGCTGACAAAAAACACCTCGGGGAAAAGCAGCTACTTGTCACTGAAACCTGGAGTATCAGCGAGCATAGCCCCTCTAAATGGCAAATGCAAGAGAGAAACGTGCCGATCCAGTCCGATACCACACCTCATTTATGTGAATGACTTCATCGTCGACGTCGTCTAGCGCCTGTACACGCGACAATCGAAGTTAGTTCTAGACGAACTTCGAAGGTATACAGACCTGGATGTCATCGGGTGGAAGGCAAGACTTCCGTGTAGAAAGTTTACCAAGCTCGAACTCTGACAACACTTGGTCCAAAAACGACTGATGTTTTATCTTCGAGGAGAGCAGCCATGTCATGAACCCCCATACCAAACTCTTCACTGCATATGTATGGTTTACATCCCGACTCCATCAGCCACTATCTTTCATCTGAAAACTAAAAATGATCCTTCTATCAGCTTTGCAAAAGCGAAAAGAAAGAAATAAAACGGGTACCTCCTGAGTAACAAGATCCGCCTTGTTGAGCACCACTGCTAGAGGTACTCCAGGACTATTATTCAGTATCACAGGATCCAAGCGCGGCCTATCGAGTGAGAACAACACCAGTAACAAATCAGCATTGGCCACTGCTGGATCTGAAGTCTCCGATCGTCTCTGTAGTAGAACATCTTCAATCATCCCACGTTTGTCTGTCCAATCCTGATCTTCTTGAGAAGCGCTCTCACCACGCAAAGAAGCTTCATCCCTGCTCTAAAGCCCTTCTCTTGCAAGCCATCGTCGAGCGCTCCAGCTCGTTCCACCACGGCAGTCATGACATTCGCCTGCGCCGAGGTTACCTGACCGACTCCTCAGCTAAAAGATTGTCGAATCGCTTCACATCGGGCAATGTCGTTACATCACGCACCTGTTGATTCCACTGGCGAGAGACTTGCTTGGAATTGCCCCGCCACTGCCGATCCCACTGCTTGTGGAGCTGCTTCCTGGCCGGGCCGTGCGCATTCTTCCTCTCGCATCGCACCACCGGCAGCCGCTGCTCAAGAGCCCTAAACGTTCTTTTTTCGCGCCAAAGGGTTTTTGGGCCGAATTTTCATCATGTAGTGTTTGCTAAGAGCAAATGCCCATAGATGGAATGCACTGTAGAGGAGGAGGGAAATCCAAGCTTTAACTTATCTTGCAATCCACCATAATATGGATATGCCGAAAACATTACAGCACTTGCTACAACCATAGTGGTTCCAACAACGCTTAGACAGGCAAGGTCAAAAGGCATGCATGGCTGCATCGAAAGAAGCATGTAGCTAAGATCTGACTTTGCATGGCTCATGCTTCAAGGGAGATGGATCGATGTAGTAGTAGCACCAAAAAAGGCTTCTCGATCGATCTCTACAATTCTTGTGACAAGACCAAAGGAATCAGGCTCAAGAAATCAGTGCAAAGAAGACGAACTGGTCGACGGCATTGGGTGTGCAAATCTCACAGCCTCGACATTGGCCGACCTCCTCCGGCACTGCGCTGCGCACAAGGCGCTCGATCGAGGCAAAGCAATCCATGAGTTCCTGGAGAAATTCGGATGGATCCGCGACAGGCTGCTGGCAAATCTCCTCATCGTCTTCTATGGCAAGTGCGGGGAGTTGCAAGAAGCGCTCAGGGTCTTCCAAAATATTGCAAGTCCGAACACTATCTCTTGGACAGTGCTTATTACAGCAAATGCCCATAATGGGCATTGCGAGGAGGCATTACATTTCTTTCGCTCTATGGATCTGGAAGGCATCACGGCCGACACAATCACCATCTCGGCCGCCCTCGAGGCATGCACGAATCAAAAGTCGCTGCGGGAGGGCCGCGCTCTCCACAGCGCCATCGCCAGCCATGAATTCCTGGTCGATTCCATGGTGAAAAACAATCTGGTAAACATGTATGGAAAGTGTGGAAGCATCGATGATGCACAGTCTGTGTTTGATTCCATCTGGGATAAGAACTTGATCTCCTGGAATGTGATGATCTCCGCGCTCGTCCACAACGAGCGTGGCGAGGCCATCGTTGTCCTCTGGAAGACGATGCTGCTCGAGGGATTCAAACCGGACAAGGTAAGCTTCGTGACCTTCATCGATGCTTGTGCCAACTTAGCCGCTCTTGACGAAGGAATTCTTGCTCACAGGCAAGTTTCCAGCCAGGGATTGGAATCCAATCGAGTCGTCGGCAACACTCTTGTCAACATGTATGGAAAGTGTGGAAAAGTCGAGCTTGCGAGGGATTTCTTCGAGGGAATGCCGGACAGAGATGCAGTGTCCTGGAACACCATGATCGCTGGTTACGTCCTCCACAACCACAACGTCGAGGCTCTGGAGCTCTTTAAGTTGATGGATCTAGAGGGCGTTGGAGCGACGAAGGTGACCTTTGTGACGACGCTAGATGCTTGCTGGAAGCTGGATCAGACGAGAGTGATCCACGAAGCCGTGAGAGATAGTGGCCTGGAGATCGACGAGGTCTTGGGGAGAGCTCTCATGAACGCTTACAGGGCCTGTGGAAGCCTGGACGAAGTGAGACAAGTTTTCGATCAAGTCTCTTTCTCTTCCGGTGGCTACAGTGCGCTTCTCTGGAATGGGCTGCTGTCTTCTTTCTCTTGCTGCGACGACGATCGCTCGGCTGCCAGAGTATTCATTCAGATGCAACTCGAGGGAGTGAAATCGGACAAGCTGACACTCATCTCGATCTTGGATTCTTGCGTAACTCTCTCGAATCTCAAGCTCGGGGAGATCGTCCACGCCTGCATTGTGGAGCTCGGCCTCGAGCACGAGTTGTTCCTCAGGACAGCGCTGATCAACATGTACGGTAAGTGTGGCCAGCTCCAGCAAGCTCGGAACCTCTTTGATTCGATGAAAGCCAAAGACTCGGTGGCCTGGAACGCGATGCTCTCGTCCTACGCTCACAATGGACGGGCTCTGGACGCGATCCATCTCTTTCTTTGCATGGACTTGGAAGGAGAGAAAGTCGACGGCCTCACCATTGCTCGGGTTTTGGATGCCTGTGGAGAAACCTCCCAAACTATAGCTCTCGCAGAGGAGCTCGGCGAGGGATTTCCCTACGGGGACTTTGATATCCAGATTGGAAACTCTCTCCTCAACGTCTACGCAAAGTCACGCGACCTGGACGCCGCAAAGTGCCTGTTCGAGAGAATGAAGAACAAAGACGTGGTTTCTTTCAACACCTTGATGGGAATCTACGCCCAGTTGGGTCTTGACAGTGATTGCGTGAAAACATTCCATGGGATGCAGCTCCAAGGCGTGAGGCCGAACAACATCTCCTACGCAAATGTTCTCGACGCTTGCTCGAACCTCTCAGCTCTCACTTCCGGCAAAGCAATCCACGAGAGCATGAAAGCGAGTGGAATCACGCCCGATCTCGTCACCGAGACGGCGCTCGTCAACATGTATGGCAAATGCGGCGGCTTGGAGCTCGCCTGGAAGATCTTCCAGTCGATGAGAAACCGGCGAGACTTTGTCTCGTGGAACGCGGTGATCGCCGCGTTTGCCCAGCACGGACATGGAGAACAAACGCTCCAGCTTCTCCGGAGGATGCAGCAAGAGGGTGTCAAGCCCGATGGAATCTCCTTTCTCGTCACCATGGCGGCTTGCAGCCATGCAGGGTTCCTGGACGAGGCGATCGAGCTGTTCGTGTCCATGGCCACGGATCACTGTCTCCGGCGAGCAGCCACGCATCTTGGGTGCATGATCGATTTGCTGGGACGATCGAGCAGGCTGAGTGAGGCCGAGGAGCTCATCCGGAAGCTCCCACCGGACATGGAAGTCCCGGCGTCGTGGAAGATTTTCCTCAATTCCTGCAAGGAGCAAGGTGATGGCGAGCGAGGGGAGCGAGCAGCAGAGCTCGCGGTGAATTCGCTGCCCGGAGACAAGATGCCATACTTGTTGCTGTCCAACTTGTACGTCCAAACGAACAAAAAGTGGTAGAGAATATCCGGGTATTTGGAGGTAGGGCAGGGGTTTTAGCTTTGGGGAAGAAATGGTAAAGCGTTCTGCGTGTGTGTGCATTCAGCGATCATTCCCTTGTGCAGGTTAAGAAGAAGACGATTCGGCAGAAAGTGCGTGAGAAATCCGCAAAAGTCCAGGTCCGTTTTTCTTTGTGTTTTTGGGTTTGCGGTTTCGATTTTGATTTTTCGTTCCAGGAAAAGAAAACCCAAGAAGAGAACGAGACAAAGTAGACACTGCATGGATGTGATCTGGTTTATCTTGTAACTCTTTACTTCTTTTCTTGTTTTAGGAATGTGGAAGCTGAAAGAGAAATCAAGCTGAGTGTCAGGAGGAAACTGGCGAAACAAGAGCGGTTTCTAGCAAGTGAGTGTACTTCTTTCTGCAAATGCTTGTTTTACTTCTCTTTTCTTTCAGAATTGCGAGAGACACAGACTGCGTTGGCCAAGGCAAAGGTAGCGAGCTGAAATATTCTTGTGTGAAGTTTTAACAGTCCAGACTTCCAGAAGAAATCAAAGCCAAAACGAAGAAACACAAGAACAACTCTGCAGGATTTATCTTCACTGGGAGAGTTTCTCCCTGACGTTCCAAACCAGCAGCGAGTTTGCACCAAGAAATCTAACATGAGACAAAAGCATCGACAACAGCTCATGTAAGCAGTCATTTCTCTGCACTTTTCTCAATTTCTGATCAGATACGTTACCACACAGAATCAGAGAAACGAAGCAGCTGGCAGCTGTTTTATCACATCCACAGTTTCAACAAGATCCCTATGCAGCAGTGCACCAGCATCTTGTGAACACAGTTCCAGAATATGATCACAAAAAAGCAAAGTAGCAGCATCATTGTCTTTCTTAAAAGAACCTAAAGCCCTAAACCCAATACACGTAGATTTAATCAAATTCAAACAAACATTCCTTGTCTTTTTTCATACCAAATTATGTTTATAGTCAACAAATAATAATGAAGCTTAATATTAAACAATAATAAAAATACAATATAAAGAGAACAATATTTATCCAGTTATTCAAATATGGCTGCATTTTATATTTCTATGTTTCTAGTTTTACCACATGTAAATTGCTATTTTCATGTAGAGCAATCTTTAAATACATATAAAGAAATGAATAACTCAATTACTACAAATCAAACAGACTACATTAATGATTATGATTGGGCTCCTCAAATGATAAGTGAAGTTGAAAGATGTAATAAATATGGAAATGCAATTGTATGGCGTTATGGTAATGTTTTTAAAAGTAAAGGATATAGTCATATTTTCTATGATGAATGTAGTTTTACATTGCATAATCAATATTTTATAGGAGTTACTTTTAATGGATATGGATATTTTCAAACTGATGGATGGTATGGATGGCAAAATTGGGCATTTACTGGAACTTGGAAACGTATAAACAATCAAATTGTTGAATTTTCTTAAAACTTGTTAAAGTTCATTATACAATAAAGTTTTACAAGTCTATTCTATAAAGTTACAATAAAAGTTAAATATTTGAAAATTTAACAGAAATTATATGTATCATTTAAAAAGAGATATTAAAATTATTAAAATCTTTTTAATAAAACATTGGATAAATGGCTTTTTAGTAATAAAATATTGAATTTTAATTTTTAAAATATATTTATATTAACTTGTACAAAATGTGAGTTCTAGTTAGCTAAAGCTTTATCTCAAAATTGTTTAAATTTAACTTTATTTTATAAACATATTCATATATAAAATAATGAAAATTCGAAAATTATTGGTTTGTTTAAACATAACTTGAAAGGAGAGGGTGGTAGAATATTCTTTGATATTCTGGAATATTTACTATTTAATGGTTGTTATTCTTTAATCTTGTATTTATAATTTATAAACATGTTTATAATTTATAAGCTTTTATAAATGCTTCCTAGTATATTCAAGTTTATTCTAACATATTATGGTCGATATGGAATATGATTAGTTTTGTGTTTAAAATTATAAACATGTTATAATTATGAAGTTCCAATTGATCAATTGGATTAATAAATAATACAAAAATTAAGCAAACAAAGCATTCATACATGCAACACACATGAAATTATTCATAGACTAATACTTGCCCAACATATGCTATCTTGTTAGCAAATACTGTTTTGAATGTTATAGTTATAATACAAACCTTTCAAGACCATTTTTTGAAATCAGAATTGGAGTATTCTAGATAGGCCTTTGTTTGTTCATAAGACTTATATCAAGAATTTCTTTCAATGCTACAAACAATGTATGGAGCAAGAATCAAATTAAAGAGGAAATTGGTGGAGGTGAAAATACTTAATATAAAACTTCTTTATATACTGTATTGATAGTGAAAGTAAAAAGGATTTATTATCCTTGGAGTGATGTGTTTTATACTTTAATACCTAGTCTTGCTAGTGATGTGCATCTTGATAAAGCTAGCCATAGATGAAAACTGGATGTGGTCAGTGTATTCTGACTTGATCAAATGTTTAGCCCTTACACTTAGAGATTGTAAGGAAATAATTGGAAATTTTCTTCTAAACATTTTAAATGGAATTTCTGTCTGAACATGTGAGTGTGATTTGAGGGATGAAAGCTCACATACCTTTGAATTGGCTTAATACAATTTCATAGTCTAGAACTATTAGTAAGGATGTTTAAGGATGAGGTGTGTACCATTACATAGTCTAAATGATGGACATATATTCTTTTATAGAATAAAGATAACACCTTCTTTAAGCAAAAGTTTATATGGTGGAAGAATAAGAGTAATGGAATTTAGAAATTCAATTAGAATTTTTTTTAGATGTTTAGTATTAAAAAAGTTAACACTTTCATGAATGTGTAAATATAGCACATGTGATTTTCACCCTTTATTTTATAGTGATTTACCATAGGATAACTATGAAGTGGAACATAAACCCTCTATGTGCCACATCATATGCCACGTGCCATATGCCACATGTCTAAGGACAGTGGTGTGGAACCCGAGTTTCAAAGCTTTGGGTCATTAAACAAAGGTATGAAGCCAAACTCCTAAGTATAGAGCCAAGGAGCAATGGAATCCGACCATGGAGCAACTCCCAAGCATATAGCCCAAGGAACGAAGGGACAAGAGCACAAAATGACTTGGAACAGTTCTAGAACATCTAGCATCCCAATGCTAGGACCAACATGCAAAACGAAGCCAAACAAAGTTTAGTGCTATTTTAGCATACCGATAGCCTAACGTGAGAATATGAGTACTCCACCAACTAACATGGTATGGAACTTGAGCTTAGACCCAAGCTAAACACAGAACAAAGACAGGCACGCAAGCAAAAGCTAAATTATGCCTCAGGTTGGTCAACTATGCCCAACCTACCCACTATCCTTACTATATAATTGGAACCCTTCATAGTGCGCCCCCCAACCCCTGCCCCCCTTCTTTGAGGAACATACGCTTTGGGCTTTCACCCTAAGCCTCCCTTAGTACTAGGAGTTGGGATAAACTTAAAACTTACTAAATATAGAATGTCTTTAAATTGCCAATTTGGATAAGGGATGAATACCATTGTGTTTAAGATAATCTCTACATTCTGTAGATATGCCAAATGAGCAAATCTAGACACTTTCCATAAATAGCATTTGGGATTGGATTGAGACTAACAAAAAGGGCATAATAGCGAGGGTGTTTGGTAAATACGGTAAGTTATCATCTAGCGATATTAAGAAACTAGTCTCAATACACGAGGGTTTTTATCACTAGCTAGTGTAAGACATAACGAGATGGGAGCTCTTTACTGGGCTAAGTATACTTAGCTAATAGCACGTAGGAATTTTGTCCTTATGCTCATTTGGTCTAAATACACTCAAAATGCCCAATTAACTCCACTAGCACAAAAGGGACTGATAAAGGGTTTAGCAATACTGACATCCTGCTATCATGGCAGTAAAGAAAAATATCCAAAAGGACAACTGACAAGTAATTTTCGATACCTGAAGTCACGTTTGTGACACTCTTCCCCCCTTAGGGAAGATTGATGTCCTCATTGATATATATTCTAATCTAGAATATTGTTAAGGAAATAACTTCACAAAAAGTTCACGGTATTCACTTTGTGAGAAATGCACCAATTTAAATGAGTTAGGCTAACCTCTTTGTCTAATGCAAATGCGCTACCAACTCAGACACATTTCGGCCATCACCGACAAAAAAATGACTAGTGGAGTGTGAGACACAAAATCCCTAGGCCCCAAAGTGGAGCTGGAAGGGTGCCACGTGGTAGTGGCCGAAGTGAAAGCCAAACGAGCATAACACGTTTGGACCGAAAGCTCCGACTTGAAAAGTTGAGAGCGGGAGTGGAACTCCCAACAAAGGGCTCGAGGAATGAGCACGAAGCTAGCAATAAGCAAGGCTCCAAAAAAAGGACCCAAAAGGACCAACACATGACACGTGGAAGAGTCTGAGATGGACCCGAGATGGATCCGAGTTGGAGTCTGAGATGGATCTGAGAAGGACCCGAGATGGAGTCCGAGATGGACTCAAGATGGATCCGAGTTGGAGTCTGAGGTGGAGTCCGAGATGGACCCGAGAAGGACCCGAGATGGATCCAAGTTGGAGTCTGAGGTGGAGTCCAAGATGGACCCGAGATGGAGTCCGAGATGGAGTCTGAGATGGACCCAAGATGGAGTCCGAGATGGACCCGAGATGGAGTCCGAGATGGAGTCCGAGATGGACCGAGACGGAGTTCGAGATGGAGTCCGAGATGGAATCCGAGATGGAGTCCGAGAAGGACCCGAGATGGAATCCGAGGTCGAGACCGAGACTGGGACTGAGACTGAGACCGGGACCGAGACCGGGACCGAGATCGGGACCGAGATCGGGACCGAGACCAAGGCTGAGGCCAAGACCGAGCCCGAGTTTGAGTCCGAGTCCGAGTCCGAGTTCGAGTCTGAAAGGGTGAAAGCCCAAAGCATTCATCTCCTAGACCCTGGGGGGTTTGGTGAGCTCCAAAAGTATAGTAAGGGGGAGGACTACAGTGGAGCCAGTTTGGCTAGGAAAGGCCAGTTTGGCCTAGGAAGGCTGTACCCAATGTTGGGTGATGAGCTGCCCACTGGGAAGTCTAAGACTAAAGTGAACATGGACCGACAAGCGGGGTAGCTTGGTGAAGTGTTCAAGAGCCAGCTCTAGTTCCCCTGGGAGATCGACTAGTCGATGCTCCCAGTCCAAGTGTGGGTGGCACTACCTACTTGGATACCTAGCGTGGCTCAACAGAACCTCGCTCTAAGCCCATGGCTAGAGCACCTAAAGGCGGAAGGTGGGGAAAGTACCTACGGGGCTCGCGTAAGGCCGCGGTGTTCCGAAATGTTGCCCTAAAGTCCCAAACTAGGGAAAGGAGGAGGAGCAGTCCTCTAGTGTAGTGACTAAGGATACAGTCACATGGTGAGGAAGACCTAGAGGACAATGGGACTGAGTGGCCGGGCCTACGGGCCTTGATCTAGTGGCAGTGTTGGCGAACATGGCCATGGACAGAAAAGGGACTTGGTAGGAACTGATAAAAAGCTCTATTTCGTTAAAGTGGGATTTATTCAGTAAAATGGGACTAGGTACAAATTTTCAAGTATTTGAAAATGATGTGAAATTATATGTTTTTTGTCCAGGGGCTAGACATATCTGGGGCATGGTGACTAGCGCGGTGACTTTGTGTCCAGACTGAGTCCATCTGGTTGTATAATAAATCTCATTGTCAAAGTGAACAAGCCGAATCTGAAGTTAAAGAAGAGCGATGGCATGCGCGCACACACTATTTGTTTGTTCATTGAGCGTGTGGTGAGCTTTCCAAGATGAACGTCATTCCTATTAGCCAGACATATAACCTAATGGTGAGAACATTTAGATATTATTCAATGTTATCTTTTTCTAACGAATCTAATTGT